TCTTATTATGTAAGTTAGCTTACCTGAGGTCCTACTTTTTAGCTCATACATATATAAAAATTAACATTTGTAAATTCTTCGTAGAATTGCTTCCTGCATATGTTTTATATTTCAAAACATGCTTTTAAATTTCATCCATAAACCAGCATCTGGTTACTGTTTTATGATAAACAGGTATGCAGTTTCTGTTTAAAGGAAAGCTTTGGCTGGAACAGTGGCATGCTGTGCTAACATTTATCCAAATGATGGTCACGACTACATTTTGAGGATGATAAAACACAACGCTCTGTATAAACTTGGCAAATTTGAGCTCTAGTCAAATAAAATCTCAAACTCCTTCCTTCTAAGAAAAGAATAGTACTACTTTTTCTAAATAGAGTGATTACATTATACCACTAGAGAAACCGTTGATGTTTGATTTTTACCAGATCTGATCTTGTCTGATCTTTACCAGAACCGATGAGATTTCAAGTCATCCTCTATCTGAGCATCCATATACCCTGAAGTCGGTACAGCACTCTTTTAATGGAATCCCAAAAGGAATTCAGGAGAAAAGCAGATCTGTGAAAATATTTCAACCAACTGATGTCTCTCCAGAATGTATTTCTATGCTTCTGCTTGAAAACTGAGTAAACAACTCAAGCCATACAACACCAAATAGCCCTTCTGCATGAAACCGTGTTATCTCTATTGCCTCTTCCAGTTTTCAGTACAACTTAACTACTTTTATGCTTCACTGCACAGTGAATTTTATTGGCATAGCTATCAAAATGTGAATAAGTTGCCATAACGAGGAGTCAGATCATCTATAAATGTCAGCAGGAAAGCACGCCTGAGAAAAGTAAATCATTAATACCATGAAAAGTAATGACTGTTTGGAATTAGTTTTTTGAAATCAGCTCAGAAACCTTTCTATACAGCCAGGTCACTGTTTTTTCAAGATTTCCATTTTATACTTTAAAACCTCGTCTCAGATGTTAAAAAAAGAAAAAAGCAGACCAGAGCCCTAAAGCTGTGAAGAATACTTACAATTAACTAAACATTAAGTGAGAAAACCATGCCTGGCCGAAACCTCAAACAGAAACAGCTATAGCAATGTAAATCCTCATTTCACTAAAATGGTAAATTATGTTTGTCAACCTATAGGAATCCTCTGCAGATCTGAGAGATTATTCTGCATGTTTTATTTTCCTTCCTCCTTTTTGTTTTATAACATTGCCAAGTAAGGAACAAGGGGAAAGATGCTCTGGTGAACAGTGCTTTATAAGGGTGTGGTTCTTGCTAGGAATTTGAGATGTGAGAGTAAAGGTAAGCCTCCAGAGTACTTCAGCATGCAGAACACACTGAATTCCCACCTGCCTTGAGCAGAGCAAGTGATCTGTTCTCCGTGCCTTATCCCAGTAAGCAGGACGTGATCAATGTGCTTGGTTTAATAACTGAATGTAGGTGGCGGGCCCTTCAGGCCACCGGTAGGTTTACTTGCCCTGTCCAGCCCCATCCACGACTCCCACCACCCACAGCTGCTAGTGCCCCAGGTGAACTGGTCCCAGCCCCTGCCTGAGCCCTTTGCCCTGTCCTGTCCTTGCTGTTCTTCTCTTGGACCTGCTTTTTCACCTTGTATTTGCTGGTGATAATGGGGCTGCTGATGGAACCTGCTGTTTTCACAGTCCTGCTCTACTGTCCCAGTGCAGTGCCAGAGAGGGCAATGCCCATGCCAGGGTCACCTTCAGCTCCTGTGTCACCCTTCCTAGGGCAGCCACCCCACTGCTGCTGCTGGCAGTAGGATATTTTTCTTCCTCAGCAGAAGGCAACAAATTTTTCTCTTTTACACTGACTTAGCCCAGCAATTATTTGATTTGTAAGACTATGTTTTAAATGCTTATTCATTTAAATGTTTATTCATTAAAAATAGTTACAGACACCATTGGTAATCTCTTCTTTTCTAAGGATAAAAAGATAGCTAAACCTGGTGATTGTCCTGCTGTTGCAATAATGACTACTCAGAAGCCCACCAAAATCAAATGAAATCTTGTTACTGACTAAATGGGTTTTGGATCAAGCCCCAACATAATCAGTCTGATGTATATACTAATGCACATCGGTAGATCCAAAGGAGTATAAGGACTCATCATAAATATCGTTTCCAAAACTGTTGAATTGCTTTTTCCGAGAACAGTGTGTCTGAGAAACAATAAAGGTTAGAAGTAGGGAGATTTATCCTATTTGAAAGTGCTACTACATCTGGATACAGTAAGGAAAACTGTATTTTCATACGAAAGTTTGCAGGACAGATAGGGCACAGAAAGGAACAGAAGTAATTAGTATTTGGCAGATACATCTAAGACACTTCCCTGGTGAACACTTCACTTGTAAAGAGGTCCTTTGTTGACCACCGTGTGCTTGGGGTAGGGGCGCACAGCTTTCAGAAATATCTGTAATTAATCTACCTTGACTGATACAGAGAAATCCAAGTTCTGATTTAAATTTGTTTGTGGCTCTGGTAACAAGATTGGTTTGTTCTGGTTTATGTGTGTATGGCACACATTCATGGGTGGGATTAGCTGAGGTAGGGAAGGCTGACGGGATGCTTGGTGATGGAATGGGAAGTCGGTCCTGGACCATCATTAGTGTGTGTCCTTGCTGGCTGGGCAAATTACTGCCTAGCTGTTGGCTCTGAGTCACAAACTGTCAGGATTTTGGCTTACGGTATTGTAGCTAAGGTGGAACTGAAATCTCATAGCTCAAATCATCTGCTTAGCCTCTAGGAAACTGTTGCAGCGTAGCCATTTCTATTCAGTAATACTAATACCAGCAAGAAGGCATATTAATGCAGAAGCTCTTAATGGCAGGTTCTGAGCAGGATTAAATCTGAGTCAATTGGAGAGTTTCAAATTGCAGAACAGAGGGATTTCCTGTGATAGTACTGATTTGTGTATGCTTCTGCATACATGCTTACATATGTGGTACTTACCTGCTCTCAGCTAAACATTAGCTTTGGGTATGAAATATGTGTTATTTTTTGCATGAGTCATCTAAAAAGAGCCACTTAATCCTTAAAAAGTATGTTTCAGAAGATGAAAGGAAAAAAAAAAAAAAAGAGAGAGAGAGAGAGAGAATAGAAATAATACCAGAAGAAAAATAACAGTGAGAAACAGAACAAAGAAACAGATGAAAGAAGAACTTCTAAGTAGGCAAGAAGCTGCAGATGCTCTTTACCTACTGTGAGAATCATCCTTCAAAATATTTAATATACCAATATACAACCAAGCATGGAGACATAAAAATTGGCTTTCTGCATTCCTGTAGAGGAAGATTCTAAAGCCTACTAAGTTTTATTTCTATTCCACCCAAGTCAGTACAGTAGAAGAGAAGTTGGAGGGAAAAAAGTTATTTTGCAAGTCACCTCCAAAACAGGATGGCCATTTCTCCCCAGTGTAATCTAACGATAGAGAAAAGACTATGAAGTCTATGGTAAATACGAAAAAAAAAAAAAAGAGACTGCTGCAGGTAATTCCATTACCAGCTGCACCAACACACCAACACTGTGCTATGATTAATTCTGTGCTATGATTCTGTGAACACTGTCCTGCTACGCTCTAAGAGAGGACGGATGAACCAAGAATGAAATAATTCAAGAACAATAGCGAACTACATTTTTTCCCGTTTCTTATTAAAACATTCAACATTAAATTTGCCATTATACCTTTTATGCATATACTCAGAGTGGTTGCTTAATGTAGCATTTTAGAATGCATTAAAGGATATTGCACAAGTAATTTAATCTCTATAATATTTTTTTTTGCAATGTAATTTGGTTTAGGAGGAGCTACAAAGAAAATAGTTACATCACAGGACAGGATCTTCCAAGTGCTATCTGCATATACCACAGCTCAGAAATAAATCCAGAGGAATCTCTTACCAGAGCCTACACATCTGCTTTCTATTTTTTTTTTGCTCAGTTTTAACAGGTAGAACTGATTACATTACCATATAAGTTATCAAAATCTTTTGCTTCTTTTCCAAAAGATTTCCAAATATAAAAACTGTAGTTTATCTTCTATAAAAATGACTGTGCTTTAAGAGTACATGCTTGCTGTGGTTTAATCTGGCTAGCAGCTCAGCACCACACAGCCGTTCACTCACTTCTTCCATGGGATGGGGGAGAGAATTGGAAAAAAGGTAAAACTTGTGGGTTGTGGTAAGGACTGTTTAATAGACAGAAAAGGAAAATAATATGATGATGATTTTAAAGGGATATACAAAATAAGTGATACACAATGCAATTGCTCACCATCCTCCGACTGATGCCCAGCCCATCCCTGAGCAGCAGGAGCCCCTGCTCAAAACGCTCCTATGAAAACTGAGGCAAAATGACTTACAGTTTGATCAAACTGTGAAAAATAAAGTTTGGAAGAGGGTGTCACGCTCTTTTCCCAAGATAAGCTGTTGTGCATATATACTCTTTAAAGAGAAGTGATGAAATGTGTCCTTGTGCCTTGTACTGATAAAATGCATCCCAAACCTGAAGCTTAGAGGAACTTTGCTTTCCCACAGCAGGCATGAAAGTTCTTTAAGAGCTTTAAGAATTACACGTCTTTCCAAATTCATGGGACAATAAATCAATAAATAAATAGATCTTCTAGTTTCTTTTCTATCTTTTTCCCATTCACCTCGACAATATTCTTACTATCTATAGCAGGGGGCAATTCTCCCTAACGTTACATCTGCACAATTCTACCCGATTTCCTTTCACTCCATGCCAGTAAAGCACCGTGTACGTTTATGGCACCAATCCCTTCTCCTAATATTTGCAAGACCTTTTTTGTTTGTTTGTTTGTTTTGTAATGCCCAACTTCTCCGTGCAGCCACAAGTTATTCCAGCAGGAAAAGGCTGGCCCAGGCTGTCTGACACTCCAGGCGCTGCGGGGCGGGGATGGAGACCCGCGGGGCGGGGACGGGGATCCGCGGGGTGGGAGATCCACGGGGCGGGGATGGGCGATCCGCAGCCGGGTCCCGGTGCCCAAACGGGCGGCTGTGGGGCCGGGGCCGCGGCTCTCAGCGATGTCTGCCCCGAGCCCCGGGGCTGCGCAGGCCGGCGCGGCCGGGAGGCGGCGGAGGTGGAGGAGGAGGAGGAGGCTGAGGCTGAAGCTGGTCGGGGACCATGTCCTCGCTGGTGAAGGAGGACTTGGCCAAGAGGCTCTTCAGGCCCCGGAGGCTGCGGCTGCAGGAGTTCATCGAGGTGGAGGGCACGGGAGCGGGGCGCTGCTACCTGTGCGCTGCAGGTACCCGGGGGTGCATGGGGCCGGGGGATCCCCATGGGCTGGGGGATCTCCTTAGAGTTAGGGGATCCACAGTGTGCTTTGGAGAGGTGTCATAAGAAAGCATAACGGGTACCTTAGCGGTTACAGCAGGATTTGGGGAGCTTTTGCACGATCCCTCGTTGGGTTGTGAAGTCCTCACGCTGTCCCAGTCGCCCAAGTAGCTGTGGTTTAACCGGATGCACGTCTGGATCGGGAACAGCGAGAACTGTGATTAAAACAAGAGTGTTGGGATAAAATTAATTAGCCGGCTCTTTGCTAAATCTGATTTCAAGTGCATCTGTTTCTGAAGGCTTTCAGAACGTGGTTTCAGAGAAGCCTGAAGCCTTTTTATTATTATTTTTGCAACACTGCAAAAGAGGAGTACTCTCATCCCTAAGTAGTTAGGCTGAAGTGAATGCTTTTTGCAGTCTGTTTCCTCTTGATGTTCAAAATGAACATACAGGTAGAAATGATGTATGTATTTGAGACTTTTCTTGGCAATACAGGGTGATGCCAACCGTATTCTGTGGTCCTCATGTTTGTAAACATCTGAAGCCTTTAGAATAATTTCATTGTACAGATCACTGGAAATTGACCCAGCTTTGTTCCCTGCACCCACGTAATTTTAGTAGAAGAGACTTTGCACTTTAAAACTGTAAAAATGGTTTTAAGAAATGGATTCCTGGGTATTGTAGAGCTTCTCAATGTACAAGAATAGCAACCTGATTCATAGTTTATAAAACAATTCGATAGAAGGATGTTTAGATGTGAGTGGCAGAACTAAGAGTTTGCTGCTGTGAAACTTCCAAAGAGGAGGAATAACGTGCTCCACCTTCAAAATCTTTACTAAACATTTCTTTTTAAGGTAGAGAAGAGCAAGAAAGCCTCTAATCAGATTTACTGATTGGATGTCACTGAAGACATAAAGGAAAATTTATGTAGAGTGTTAAGAGTGGGATCTCTCCAGTATCCAATATTAAACTCTCTTAATATATTGAGGCATAGTCAAGTAAGCGGTGAGCAGAGTGGACACCTGATGCTGAAAGATGGGCTCCATCCATCTGCCAGCAGCTACTGTGATTCTCTGGAGCAAGCCATGCTGTCTAAAATCTTATCCACAATACATCCTGAGTATAATCTTGTGAATTTCAACTTACCATAACAAAGAAAAATCGGTCAGACTATATAGAGGCAAAACGTTAGAAGTCTATACCTTTTGAAATCTATATTAAAATAAAATCTCAGTGTGGATAACTGAACAATCTTATGTGTGTGCCATATGCCCAACCTTATTTCCCTTACTTTTTCACAGCAGCAACTCTCAGTTCTTGTATGAAGAAAACAGTTCCTTTTGCTAAATGCTTTATAAACCATGGAAGAATGTAAAGCTGAAATACAGCTGTGTTCAGGAATTTTCACAGCTCTGTATTGGTATGCCTGAGAAGGGCAGCAGGACTAACATCATATCATCCAGTTGCATAGAGACTCTAAAAACAAGCTCAGTCCATGGAAGACATTAAGGAATAATTTGTGCTCTATGAAGGCATTGCCATATCAATGCCTTCCACAGGAAAAGCTGTGAGAATTTAATGAGTGAAATGGTAGATCTGAGATCATGCCACATATCAAAAATAATTTTTTCTTTAACTATGTCAACTGAGTGCAAGAACGAGCAATATATCAAAAGCCAGCAGTGTGCTCAGGTGGCCAAGAAGGCCAACGGCATCCTGGCTTGTATCAGAAACACTGTGACCAGCAGGGCTAGGGAGGTGATCGTCCCCCTGTACTCGGCTCTGGTGAGGCCGCACCTCGAGTACTGTGTTCAGTTCTGGGCCCCTCGCTACAAGAAGGACATCGAGGTGCTTGAGCGGGTCCAGAGAAGGGCGACGAAGCTGGTGAGGGGCCTGGAGAGCAAGTCCTATGAGGAGCGGCTGAAGGAGCTGGGCTTGTTCAGCCTAGAGAAAAGGAGGCTCAGGGGTGACCTTATCACTCTGTATAAGTATATTAAAGGAGGCTCTAGCGAGATGGGGGTTGGCCTGTTCTCCCATGTGCCTGGTGACAGGACGAGGGGGAATGGGCTAAAGTTGCGCCAGGGGAGTTTTAGGTTAGATGTTAGGAAGAATTTCTTTACTGAAAGGGTTGTTAGACATTGGAACAGGCTGCCCAGGGAGGTGGTTGAGTCACCATCCCTGGAAGTCTTCAAAAGACGTTTAGATGTAGAACTTAGGGATATGGTTTAGTGGGGACTGTTAGTGTTAGGTCAGAGGTTGGACTCGATGATCTTGAGGTCTCTTCCAACCTAGAGATTCTGTGATTCTGTGAAAAATGCAGGAAAAGAACAATGTTGTAGGTGAAAATTGTCCAGCCAGGTTTCACCACCGGGCAGAACATGCTCCTGGCCTCACTGTGCTGTTGAGCAGTTTCTTAACACATCTGTTCTCTATCCTCATTTCATACAATCTCTGTTCCTACACCAGGGGTGGAGAAGTGGCAGTTTGTGGGTCCTGGAGGTGCCTAGGATGTCCACTTGTATTTCCGGAAGGACTGTGAGCTTTTGCGGTTGGATTTGCTTTCTTTCAAAGCTGAGGGAGACCACATACTCCTTCACAGGAAAGCAAATAAAATGGGAGAAACTGGAAGTAAGAAAAGAACTTTCTAAGAGTAGCCTAATAGATGTGCTTGCAAATGAAAGCCGCTGTAACTTCTCCATAGAGATAATACACCAGAGGTCCTCTGATTAAAAATCATTTAGTAATCATGACTGGTAGGACCAGAAAGATAGAAAAGCAAGTGTTTTTTTTCCCAGCAGGCTGTTTGGGAAGCTATAGGCTGAGAGAATTACGATCAATTTATATATTTTCCTCTATTTTTCTCTGCAATGGAAAGAAGCTACATCTCCAACATAATCCTTCATTTGTCTTTATTTTGTAGCCTTCTTATAAACAAGTGAGAAGTCAAGGACATCATAACAGGAATAAAACAGTCAAGTTTCAGAATGGATTTTTCAAAATTTCAGGCAGCATTTAGAAATAAAAGGATTTTGGTCCTTCGCCTGTAGTATCACATTATGATGTCAAAATGTTGCTGCCAAATGTAGGTGACATCTCGTATTTACTTACCTCAGACTACAAGATGGCCTGGGGAAGTTGGTCTGCCCTGAAGTTGTTATGTTGGATGTGCAAATGTTTCAGGCTCCAGTGCTTTTCACCCTAATTATTGTGTTACAGAAGTCTGATCTCTTACACAGCACTCAATGTAATCAATTAATAATGGTAGTTATTATAAATAATGTCCTCATGCTCTTTTCATTCTAATTTCCTGCCCTAATTGGAAAATAGTAATTTCTACAAAGATACCACAGTGCAACTTGAAGATTTAAGAAATATTTTCAGTGTTGCTTCTGTTATGTGACATACTTATGTATTTTATAAGGAAATTGAGAGTTTTGTTTTATAAGGAAAAGAGTTTTGTTTAAAAAGTGATGGATATACAAGAGAACCCCAGAACAGAAGGTGTAGCACGATTCATGTAAATACAGAACCTTGGTAGTGATTCTGCAATTTTTTGACTCCAGCACCACAGAAAGATTCCCCCACAAAGTAAGTAGGATAAGGGGATTATCCACATAGATCCAGTGCCAGGATTGGTCTTCATTGCACTGCTAGTGAATTCAAATGAAAGGTTTTAGCACAGCCAAGACTGTCTTTCCACAGAAGGGGGAAGGTAAATCCTCAATCTACTAAATGCTGAGAGGTTTCATAGTCTGAGAACACAGAGCTATTTCTACTAATTGCAAAATAAAACTATTAAGTCCAGCATAGCACTATACAGCCCTGCACATCATCATTTAAATTATTATTTAAAATGTAGTGTAAGTCTTTTATTATCAGAACTCTTGCATATCTAAATTATTTTTGTCTTGCAGTGACTAAAAGTAAAGAAGTAGAAATATGTATGGTAAAACACTTTCGAGTGGATCAAGAGGAGAAATATGAAGTAGTTGAAAAGTGGTTTCTGAAAGATCTGGAGATGATTGATGGAAAAGAAGCGGATACTGTAAGTGTTATCTATTATTAAATACATGTATTAGAATATGCTTTTCTTGTGTTGCAATTTGGAATACAAGTATTGAAATGCAATTGGAGTGCATAATCTGGAAAAAAAAATCTGTTTAAAAAACAAAACAAAAAAATCCAAGGAATTTTGAGTCTGTTGTGTGGGAGAGGGTACAGATTTGCACTTTTGGGGCAGGGGCAGGAGAGATTTTTTTGTGTGTGTTGTAATCTTCATCTCTTCTGTTGAGATCTGAAGGACGAGCTGGATGTTTTCTAATTTGCTCATCATAACTTGGAATAAAAGTTCTCCACTGCAGCTCCCAGTATAAATTTGGATTAATCCAATGTAATGTGTATTAGAAAATAATATTTAGTTAAATATTTTTATGGAGGCTGTGCCCCTGCCATTTGAATTTATGAACATGTTCTTTGTGTGGCAAAGAGGATTTGTGTCAATATGTAAAACATCGTGTAAGTGCATCATTTGGTGTACCAGCTTAGGAAATTGTGCCTCTCTCAGTTAACTTACATCTCACTCCCATTACTTAGATCAATTAAATATATGTGTTTGGCTAGATTTATGTGATCATACTGCTAAAAACTTCAGCTAGATTTGCGTGATCTTACTGGTAAAAAATAATAATAATAATCTCTCAGATAAAATTACAGACGGGTTTGCGGCTGCAGTAGTAGGCAACTACTAACCAACACCAAAAGTAGAATTAAATCTTATTTCATAGAAGCTAGAAGAATTTTCTGAGAAGAGTATCTTACTGTAGGTAAGGCATTTTAACAGTTATCCATGCATAAAAATGTAGTACAGGGAGAGATTGGTTTTTTTTTACCCCATAAGAGCATTTAAATGAACATAAAATGGAATTTGGATTATTCTGATATCAAGAGCCCACAAGAAAGGTTTCACAGTCTTGATCTAAGGAAAATGAGAGACTCTAGTTGTATTCATTCTATCCTGATGACTATTCCCCTTCAAAAAATGCTCCCACAGCTCCTACATGGGGAACCAGGGGAGCTCTGCAGCAGTCTGCAGTCCTCTGCACATTGCCCTCAAGTTTGAAACTAGGAACCTGGGAGATGGTGGAGGTGAGCTCAGGTTCAAAGTAGCTAAAACTAATAATCTTTTATGTCCTCTCTCCAAATTATCTTGCATCTGGAAATGTTCCTGCCCCTTCCCCAGTCAAGGCAGACAGCAGATTTCCTTTTCACTTGTATACATGAATTTATTTTGGCCTTTTTTTGAAGCATTTTTTACTAAAATACCCTTCAAAGATGATTCAGCCATCCAGAACTTGGATGATCAAAATCTTATTTTTGGTTATAGAAAAGTCTAAATGAACCTTAAACTCCTGATTACAGGGTGATTGACACTGCTATAAATACTCATCATATTGCTATTCATATCTATAGAATTTAATAGAACTTAGCTGCTGCTAGTATTAATTGTGCCAAGGAGCCTGAAAGCACACAGAATAACAATTTAGGCAGGAAGGGGAATCAATATTCTTCTTCTGACAGGCATATATAGTTATAGTCCAAGGCAAGTGCTTTTCATATAGTGTTTTAGGCAACATGACAAATCAGTTCATTTCAAAACAAGCTTGTGTAATCCCAATAAAGTGCAGGGTATCATTTGGCCAAACTCTGAAAGTTTCACTCAGGCAAAATTCCTAATGGCAAAGAATAGCAGCTAATTATAAACTGCTACTTTGTAAAGTTTTAAAAGACCCTTTAGTATGAATGGCAGAAATATGCAAAGTGCATAGCTAATACTTTTTAGTATCCATCAAACTGAGAAAAAGGCCTGAAGGCATCTGAGCAGAGAACAATTGCCATTCTAATGTCTGTAATGCATGTAATAATTTCATTCTCTCTCCATTTTTTAGGATAATCCATATTTTGATATGCACTTCCACAAAGTCTACAGTTTGGAGGCATATAGTTGTGCATCTAAATATACCTTTGCTCGAACACTAAACAAACTGAACGAAATGTATCTCAAAAAGGACTTGAAGATTGTGAACTTTGATGACACCTACCTAAATGATGATTCAATCTGGTCATCCAACAATAGGGATTTCTTAGTACTTATGAGGATATGCTTCTACGCTTCCAACCTTTTATGTCTCTCCCTTTGTCCTTTGTCCTGAAGATGCATTTTCTAATGTAAAAGGCAACTGGTTGACTTTCCCTGACCAGCATTTCATAAATCATCTGTTGAAAAAGACAGCAAGTGATGTGCAGCATCTGCTTCTTAATTTATGTGTATAAGTCCAAAATGGAACATGCTTTCTAGATATATAAATGAATGGTCAATTGCTTGTGTTAGCAGGGCCTTACTGGCAAGTACAAATATATGCAACTATCAACAAAGGAGCTGCTCATTGTTTATGGAGATATAAATGATTCTTCATGAATTGCTAGAAATATTTTTAAAATACTTTAATAGCATTAACAGTTCATATACCTCCTGGAAGTAGGAAAATAAAACAAACAAATTAGTTCTGTACAAGAACGATGCACATTTCAAATGTGTTGAAATACAGAACTCTGTTCAAGAGATCACACCTACACAGATACACAAATGAAATACTCATCCTGATGAACTGGAGTTTTGCATTCAGGTACCAGGGACCAGCTTTTCACCTACGCAGTTGTAATTATTCCCCCCCCCCCCCCCAAACATCTAATATTCCCTTTGGCCTTTCCTTTTTTTTTTTATGATACTGTCATCGAAACATAAAATGGATGTTCTTAAGCAGAACTGTTTTTTTTGCCAGACCTTTCAGGCTTTTTTTTCTTTTATATCATTAATGTCTTCTTGCAATTTGTTGTTTTATGTGCATGAACAGACCTGGTTATGGAACAGAAACTGAATGTTTATGTCTCTTCTCTGCCTCAGGACCAAGAGTTAACAAAATACTATTGGATGTCCTATGTAAAAGTAGATGTTGGCAATTAGTAACAGTTACTTTATGGGCAAGTGATAGACTTTTCAAAATTCATAGAATTATGAGAGTAATTTTCAGCAGTTTCTAGCTATGCATTAGCATATTCAGTGCACTACTTAAATGTTTATTAGTACTTACAGCTGCATTTAATGTGGGGTGGATTCTACTGACTGGTTGGGAAGATCTTACCCATAACAACAACAAAAAAAAAAACAACAACAGCTGACAGTATTATGTTACAGTAGAAACAGAAGATGAATTAAAGCTGTATTGACCAAGAGCTGCAGAGGAACAACACTGCCAAAAAGTAGCATGATGATACTGCTCCGTGTCAGTCAGCTAAACCAGCTGGCTGCTTCTCTAATAGTCAACAGAGAAAGAAATGCCCACCCAAAAGGTGATTCAGAGAAACTTTTGGTCAGAACTTCCAGCAGGAGAAAACTTTTCTCTTTCGGCAGCCTAGGGAGTACAGAGAAACTAGCTCTGGACTAAAGCAGCTAAGTATCTAAATTTGACGAATGTAAATCACAATTTGGTTACTGTCCTCTCCAACTACCTGCCTTTGTAAAGTTGGATGGTTGTACAAGGACACCACAACTTGGACTTCACTGTTGCCTTCCATGTGGACTCCCATCTTTAAAAACATTCATGTAAATGTACTTCAGATTCAAAATTGAAATAAAATCGAGCAAGTGAGAATATATTTGAAAAACTGTATAAAATGTACAGCTTTCTACTTTACTTTTTAAGTGTTAACCTAGTGCTTGTATATAGAAAGGCTATATATTTGACTACCTAATCTTAAGAGGTTATATATTTATCCTAGGCATATGATGTAAATTGCACATGTTCTCACAGAAAATACTTATGTGTATCTTGACCTTCATGAAGGCAGTTTCTATGGGTTAACACAAATCTGCAATTTCGAAGGACTTAAATCTTTAATTTGTCACCTACATGTTGTTAAGAGAGAAGGGCTGTATTTATAGTCATTATTTATGAAATGTAGTTGTTCTTTTCAGAATGTCTTTGGTATAATCCAGTCCAACTAAGTGTTTTAACATTTGATGCATCGCTACAACAAGTATTTGCCCAACAACAGGCTCCACAAAAACATTTTTAAGAGCAAGTATAATTCAGAATACTGTTATACATGACACATTGTCTTGTTTGGGCTGTGTATTATTGTAAAGATCACAATATTTTCTGTAATGTTTACAATTTCTTTGCTTAACAAGTGCAAGGAATTCTTCTCTGGCTGGAAAAGCTCCCATCGTTTGTCTTGTAATGAAATATATAGAACCTCTAATAAAAAACACCTCACCTTTTTTTGAAATAAAGTACAGGCAGTGACTTTCTGACCAATAATAGTCCTGTATTATGTTAGAAACTGATTAGCTAAAAATGACTCTAATGTTCAAACATATTTAATGGACTTGTGTAAGTAGTTCATATCTTTCTACTCTTGTTATTGTATAAACATTAAACTGATCATATCAGGAGACAAATAAGCCTGCATTTTATGTGGAATAATATACAACTAAAATCTTTTTGGCACTTCTGTCTGATAACATCTTATTTCAGATATTCTTTACTAAGTGATCAGAAAAGAGAAAAAGGAACACTGTCTATATAAATGATTTCAGGTAGCATCAAAAGGAAATAATATTGATAGAGATCTTTGTGGACCTAATCTAGGGCCTTTTTGCATTTCCACAAAATGCATAAAATGCCAAATATCAAGGCACTGTGCAAGTGCTAGACAGACCTAGTCACGCTATGGAAAGTCTTTGTCCTCAAGTGCAGGAGACTGTCACTTTGTGGTTAGCACAGCACAGCTGCACCATAGGAGATAAAGACTATGCTAAATTATAGATGGAAAAGACCTGACAGGCTAAATAGCCCATCTTTCAATTAAGGCAAAATTGTTTCCTACATCACATTTCCTGACATTGGATATACAGAATGCAGTTTGAAATATTATATCTGGGGATTCATCTGCTTCTCCTGGAAGACTTTTCCAAAATTGATTAGGAAGAAACTTACAGGAGTAAATGTTTATCACAAATGCATTTGTAGCATTCTTATAAAAAGTTTCAACCAAACTGTGAAGTGAATTAATACTTGAGATTGTGGATATAAAGTGGACTTCACATTCAGAACACAGGAATTGTTATCAGCCATATCTGTTCCAGAGGGGGGAAAATGAGGGATTGTATTACGTAATTAGTAATATGCAACTTCAGAATATTTTCTCTTGAGTTAAAGTTAGGATTGGAAGAGAAAGGCCCATTCTCAAAGCATCTGTGGAAGCTGGAATAGGAGGGGAGAGAATGGCACCATGCATCCTGTAAGATGATCTCATGTCTGTTTTAACATGTGTAAACACATGTAGCATTAACAAACAATGCTTTGTTTCTTTTTCTGCCCTGAAGCAGAATTAACAGATAAAGACAGACAACTAGAAGGGCTTTGACTAATAACAACAAAAGCTTTATGAAACCCTATTCAATTTTTTTTATGGCAGCCTTGTCCAGTCTTTATGGATCTAGAGAGAGACAGTTACATTTTGTGGTGAAACTGAGAAATTACCCAACTGAAACTTCCCTTTTAACCTTGGCCCTCATGAATGATATATTACAGAATTACACAGCATGCTGTTTTATCAGTCAGAAAAGAGAAGTATGTTCAGCAAAACAGCATTGGTCAGTAATGGTTAAATATTTTCCATCAAGTAGAAATGTAACAGAGGAAAAATGAGATCACAATTTTGCATGCTAAAAGGCCACATTTTGGAAATTTATATCATTAACTTGAAAAAGATGTTTTCTGTTTTTCCTCATTGGTAATGACCTGGCTAATACATTTTATCAACCCTACCTTCAAGGCATAGTGATGTATTACTGTGAATAAATCATACAGTTCAAGTAATCTGTAACGATTTCAGCCTTAACTGAGCATGTAAGCCTTAAAAAAAATACTGTATTAATTTACATGAATAATGCTAAAATGAAGTGTATTGATTATGTGGAGAACCTCCATCGTGGTGAAGTTTGAACTGGAATTCACCAAATTCAACAGTGGCCAAGGCCAAATGCGGATGGCGTTTCTCTGGGTGAGATTCCACATCCTGGATGTCACAACTAGCAGTCAGAGTGACTTCTTTCTCAGCGAAGTTTGGTGTGGTGGGCACCAAAGACTCTCAGTTACTTAAGCCAAACTCGTAATGTTTTTCACAGAATATATATTAATCTGGTGCTGTGGCCTAACTGAGTTATGACGGCTCCTTTACAGCTGTGCTCAGATGGAGTGCTTTCTCACTTGAAATCCTAAGATTTTATAATACATTGTAATGTATTGTCTTTATCTGTTAACACTGGATGTACCTGCACTTCTTCAGCAAACGCTCTCGTCTCCTACAAGCTGCACAACTTCTTCACCACCCTGCCAGGAGGTCTGCTGAGGACACAGGGACACCAGGAGCCCGCTGATGGGCTCTCTGGGTCTTTCAGGAGGAGAGCTCCCTCATCACACCCCCACGGGTCACTGTGGAGAGATCACACTGGCCTTATTTTCTTGCCCCTCACGACCTGTAATTACACAGCCAAGTTCTGACAGAACAGCTAACCTCCCCCAGCAGCTCTGAAGCAGGCTCCCTCCCCTTCCTTATCTCGGCAGAGATTTCCCAGCCCCTTTCCCAGCTCCCACCCACACCACACAGCTCCAGGACCGCCCTCTCCCCTCAGCACCGCCCCGAGTGAGGCGGTGCAGCCCCGGCCCGCTCCCGGCTCCCTTCTCTGCCCTGCCCGTTCCGCCGCCGCCGGGATCACATGAGAGGAAGCGGCGGAGTTGCCGCCGCCTTCCCGTTCCCCTTCTTCTCCAGCCCTGGTGAGGCACCATCGGCCCCTTCCTTCCCCTCTGCTCCGCCCGGGGCCTCGGGCTCGGGTAGGAGCCGCGGCGGGAGCGGGGCGCCCCTCCTGGCGCCGGGGGCGGGTGGGCTGCCGCTGCTGTGAGCGACCCCTTGGCGTCTACACAACCCCCCCATAAGGGTTTTGGTGTTCAATGGCCGATCAGTAGTATTTACGCAACCCCCCCGTTAGGGTTTTGGTGTGAAATGGCTGGTCTTTGGCTCCTATGGAGTCTTTCCCGTGTATTTCCTGGGCTGGCTCCCTGGGTGGGGTGGTGGTGTCTTGGATAGGTTTCTTGTAAGAGAAGATCTGTTTGTAACGTGACTGGAGAAGAATGCGGTAGTGTCGGAAGGGATTTATTAGGCTGGCATACAGTTATCTTAAAGCATTTTTTTTCCTGAGGAAGCAGCTTTATCTCCAGCTCCTCACCTTGGGGGTGCCCCATCCCTGGAGGTGCTTAGGGCCAGGCTGGATGGGGCTTTGGGCAGCCTGGTCTGGTGGGAGGTGTCCCTGTCCATGACAAGGGATTGGAACCAGATGATCCTTAAAACAACCCCTTTCCAACCCAAACCATGCCCTGATTTGTGTATGAAGAACACAGTGATGTGCATGCTTCTGACCCATTGTGAGGGTTTTGACTGAGGCTTGAATTTACAGTGGAGGTTGGACTACGTGTCAGAGTAAGTCTTGGAGCTCAGGTTTAATGTGCTCTGTTTTATGGGAGAGGTGTATTCTGCACAGCCCCGACAGCTTGTGTGGGCACTGAAATGGAGAGTTAGCGGGTTGCAGCAGTCTGAACGTGGTTTAGACCTGAAGGTAAAATCTAAATTGTGAAGGAAAGGTGGTGTTGGTAAAATGGGTCGGGTTGTCAGTGCTTTGCTTGGCTTAGGTATCTGCCACAGAGTAACAGAAGCACGTCCTGTTGCAATTTGGAAACAGAAGCTGGGCCCAGCTTTGTATGAAGGGTGAGGAAGGCTGTTGGATAGCTGCTAACAGCAGAGTGTTACTTAGGGGTGTCACAAACAGCATTGCTTTGAGTGCTGTGGGCTCTGTACGCTGGGCAGAACTGATTGCAGCTTGGTAGATGACCTTTGTTTTCCCAAAGCCTTTAGGTCAGTGATCATTAAACTACCAAACTCCTTCAGCTGACACATGGTGGGAAGCAGAGCTGAGGAATAGTGGAACATAAGACTAAGAGCAAAATTGGTGCCTTTTCTGTTTCCTATGCCAAGGGAACACTTTGTTCACTGTAAGTTTGTTACAGGAAGCAGCCCGAGTATCTCCAACAGGAAAACACAACCTAAAATTCAGCTCCGCGTATTGTTTCAGCATCAGGCAGCGTAGCATGGGATGTGTATCGATCGTGTTCCTAACACACCGTAGAATTTTAAGGCACAAGTTGAGAGTAATATTGAAGCTCCTCTATTGAAATAAAAACACTGAACCATGATGTCTGTGCGATGCTCTTCTTACTCGAACTAGAGCAATCTCTGCAGTGTGAGGGCTTGTTCTGAATCTGGTAAATACTATTAATCCCTTCGTTTTAGGAAGTTTTTTTCTTTTTAGCTTATTATCCCTGTCACCCCATTTGTATTTTTTTTTAGAATCTTGTGGGGTTTAGACTATGCTTTGCTAGAGAACCAGGTAATTATGATGAAAGTCTCTTTCAGAAATTTGTGACTTTCTCAGGATTTTATTCTTGTTTACCGCACAGTTAATTTAGTGTTATTTTACCTCTGCAAATCCTGCAAAGTGCTCCTAACCCCTCCCCCCCCCAATCTTTCTACCTCTTTGTCTGCCCCTTCACATTCCCCAAATCACCTGAAAGCCATATTCTTAATAAGGGAAAAAAAAGTAGAGAACAAACTGTAAGGTGTTTGGAAAGTTTTTGTGCTATTAATGGCAATGCTCCTCACACGGGCAGCCTGATGGCCTGGTTCTGTATGTGACTACATCATTGATTTTAAAGCTGCATCTGCTGCTGTACAAAAAGATGTAAAGGGCAGTCCCTGATGTCCTTCCTTGTGCAGTCTCCCATGTGCACTGTTACAGTCTGTGAGAGTGAATAAATGATGTCTGTTTGATATCTCTCAATCAGACGTCTCTGGTTTTTAGCATTTGTAGAATATGAGGTTCAAGGTCACTGCCTGATTCCTGGAAGAAATCTCTTGATTTATTCCTAGGCATACATACTTTCTTTCTCTTTTAATGAAATATGCTCCCTTTTGCTCCCTTGCCAGATGAGAAACTCCATAAATACAGACTGAAATGTTTTCCATTTCTGAGCTCTGTCCATGTACCAAACAAAAGGTTGCAAGCTAGTCATGATGGGTTTACTGTGTCTTCAAATCAAACTTTCTACCAGCTACAAAGATGCATTTTGTTCTTGTACATTACTGTAACAAGTCACTGACCCTCCTGAGGATAAAGAGGAGTAAGAACAGGCTGTTACATTTAATAGCATGTGCTAGCTGGCAAGAACAGTGAAACAGGTCTCTGAAAAACATTTTAAAAAAAACAAACAAACAAACAAACACTTAGTCCTGATTCTAGATATGCAGAGATCTGTTTCCATAGACTTTTTGCGTGTTAAACAATCT